TGCGTGGCCACCAAATATGAATTACTGACTTGATTTACATAGTGCTAAGCCTGAAAGTATGCAGAAGAGATCTACCAGCTACCCTGGCCACCTTGGGCCAGGGTAGCTCTGCAGGGGCCTCAGCCCCACTCCTCTCCAGCTTGCTGGGCATGGGAAGGTACACTGCACAAGGTGGCTGGGGTGGCTCCTCCATGAGTCTCCAGCAGGTTAAACCTGGGAAAGGTCCCTTGTTCCAATTGGGAAGCATCAAATACCAAGTCTGAGATGTGTCATTGGTTCGAGGGCTGAGGCTGAGAGCCTCAACACGCCCATGTCCTGCATGGGCTGCAGCCAGTCTCTCCTACAGCCTAGGGTTTCCTCCACCTCTGCGTATAAAGGAGAACAGTAAAGTTAGAGCTGAAGCAGTCACTTAAAACTATGAAACACACGTTGCACCTGCAACATTTCTGTAGCCACCAGGCTTGGGACACCCACAGCCCATGAAGCCAAGGACCCAAACCCAAAAGGGCACAACCCTGTCTGAAGCACCCACACCACCATTCCCAGAGCAGAAACCCACCCCACGGGGAGCTCAGCAGCACCTAACTGAGCCACACACAGCAAATCCCCATGATGATTTGCAGAAGGTGAGGAAGGACAAATAAAAAAAAAAAATTAAAAAAATAAGAAAGGCAAGGAATTCTCTCTCTCTTTTGTGTGGAGGGACTGATCCAGGTTAAGAAAACTCTGACCACAGCGACTATCTGGGGAAAGGCATTCCACTGAACTGGTTAGACAAGGGGCTGCTGGAGGACGGCTTGCTCAGGGGCATGAAAGGAAGGTATGTACAGGGGGAGGGGGGCGAGTTGCTCCATCACTCGGGACAGCACTCCTGCTCCCGCCGGCAAGGTCCCCGGAGCCCTGGACACACTGCTAGGATAGTGACAGGAGACCAGGAGACTTTCAGACTCTGCAAGGCCCTCAAATAACACTTTTATCAGGATGCTGCCTGCTGAAGTCCTTAGTCCAAAGCAGCTTCGTTGGCGTCCAGACTAGTATCTCTTGGCATCGGTAAGCAGTTTAAAGGACTTCTGACGGATGGTGAAAGCAGTTTTGCACCTGGTATGGCAGGCTGACAGCACGCCTCAAGGGCTCCAGGGCAATGCAAGGGTTATTGCACTGCCACATGCTTGTTCCTAGAGAGAGGTCCCCAAATCCCTCCTCCTCATAGCTCCAGGGCATTTAATCAGTCAGAAAAAAAAAAATTAAAAAAAATATGAATCAATCATATAACATCACCTGGTTTCTAGCACCACAGGAGACAGCCTTTGAGACCAGCGTTCCTCTTGAGTGCAGGGAGCTGGCCACCACCCCACCAAAGACCCCACGGTTGCCGGCTACGTCCCTGGTCAGGGAAGAGTCTGGGGACCACTTTCTTTGGTGAAGCTTAACAAATGGCAGGTGACCCACAAGGAGACGCGTTCGGCTTACCTTCCCGGCCATCCACAGCTCCTTTCCACACCAGAGCCATGGCAGAGACTAAATGTTCTCCGCACCCACAGGGACCACTAGCCCTTCACTCCGACTGCACAAAAAGGCAGATCTCTGCTGGGGTTTCCCAGCCCGTCTGTGGTTAACGCCATGGGAAAGGAAGGGGCACAGCCAGCAACCTCGCAGAGGGGCCACCCCAGGACATTGTGAAAGAGCCGGTCACAAGGCACACAACCAGGGAAGGCTGCTGACTGTCTAGTGTTACACCAGACCCGCAAACCCTCTTCCTGTCCCCTCCAGCTCTTTTCATGCCAAGGTAGTGCCGATCACCAGTTTCTCTTGCCCCTTTCTTACATGGGACACAGGAAGAATATTTCTTCCTTAAAAGCAAGAGCGTGAGAATTGCAAGGTCTTGGCTCAGCAAGAGACAGAGCCCTAGCTCAGACAAGAGGGGATTTCTTTGGCACTCAACCTTCTCCTCCAGCTCTCTCCCCAGATAGTTGTAGTTGTATTTTCAAGGCAATGAACACAACTGATGGGTGTTCAGCAAGGCAGGACTTGTGCTCATTTTCCATCCCAGTGGTGGGACAGTTTCTTCAGGCACTGCCCTGAACACTGCAGCTCCTTCCCCACCACCAGCTCTGTTGTGAACAAGCAACTGCACCCCCAAAAAATTAAATAATAATAATAATAATAAAATCATAGCTCTCCCCAACACAACTCTTGGGATCAAGGATGGACATCTTATAAGGCTGAAAAGTGAAACTGCAAGAAGGTGCAGAGTGTATTTTAGAGGCTGATTAGGATTGCCTTAAAGCCCACAGAAGGACAAGTGCTTTAAATAAACCAGTCTTAATTGCTTTGCACTTATCTAAATCTCACACGGTGGTAGATTTGGGAGAAAAGCTGGCCTTGCTCTTTTTGTAAGACAAATCTAATAATAAAAAGCACTCCCCCTTGATCTCGCTGTGCATCTCCCAGGGCCCCTCTGTTACTGCTGCATTCCTTTGTGTTTGTCTGCCCTCTTCAACCCTGCGCCGCAGTCAGCTGTGTGCGGCACCTCGTGTCTAGAAGCGACGGGGCTGAGGTTACCGGAGAGACAGGTGCAAGGGGAGCTCCTGCCCCGAAGCTATCCAAAGGAAAAGGGAGGCTGGAGGGGAAGAGGGTTGTAAGGTATTTCAGATTAAAGCCGACAAACAGCAAACACCTTGCCCCAGGCTACACATTCTCTGCCAAGGCAAGCTGCAGAGCCTGCGAGCCCCAGAAACAGCAAAGCAAACACGGACTTCTCTGCAAGGGGAGTTGTCACCTGTCAGGGATGTTTGCAAATTTATAGGGAGGTGGTGGTGGTGGTAAGGGGAGTAAAAAGAGCTTTCCTCCTTTTAAAAGACGGGCTGTTTGCACAGGTTTGTGATGCATATTTTGCTTTGTAAAGGCTTTTTGTGCAGCACTCAACTAAGCGAAGGTGCTGTCTTCCACTGAAGACAAACTGGAGCATTTATTAATGTACATACATTAATGTACCCTGAGCCGCTGCCTTACAGTAAGGGTGAGGATGGGATGGAATTTCCCTGCTCCCCCTTGGGCTTGCCATATCTGTGAAAAACACTTCTTAAAGAAGTCACCATGCAGCTCAGCCTTTTCAGAAATGCCTCCTGCAAGGCTGGGATCAAACCTATCATAAGCAAGAAGTAACTGCACAGCAAAAGCTGCCTGCCCTCCTCCCCTAGTCCCACTGCTCGCAAGGGGACAAGAGGAAGGGATTTTCCACTGATGTTTAACCACACCAGAGATGGGAGAGGGAGACTCTGAACAAGGTCCTCAAGCGAGCCCGTCAGCTACCCCAGTGCTGTGCAGACAGCTCAGAGGCACTGGAGATGGGGAGGTTTTGCTAGCAGTCAGCACAGCAAGTCCAGGTTTGTGCATGGAAGGAGCAAAGTTTCTGCTGGTGGCCTTTAAACTATTGGGGATTGGGTTTTTTTTAAGAGGACATAGTTAAAACAAAGCATTACCACCTATTTTGAAAAGTAGGAGCCCCTCCAGACATGGAGAATATTTTGAACTAGCTATTGAAGAGACAACGTTCTACTGAAGCTGTGCTACAGTGTTGGAAAAGCTGAAAAGTGGCCTTTCAGATCCAGATGCTGATTGAAGGCTTGTACAGCACCCCCCTGAACCCAGCCTGAACACAGAATCAAAAGATAACCAGCCCTGACATCAGTCACCTCTCCTTATACACTCAGAATAGCTTCACCACATTAGCTGAGCAGATACCCAACCTCAGAGTGGCCTTTTTACACTTCGCAGTCTTGCAAGGAGAGAGGAGAGCACTGCAGTCTCCCCAGCAGTCAGACCAGAGAAGCACCAACAGCTCAAACCTTCTGGCTCCAGGGACTGCAATCAGCACAACCTGGGAGTTCTTTCCTTGCAGATGGGATCCTCTGATTTACAAACACTGCCAGGATGCAGATTGCCAACACACCTTGGTTGAGCACGTTAAAAAATGGTAGTTGATTGGCCAGGGAATTAACTGACAGTTTCTCAGGATGGAAACACAGAAGAACAAGAAAATTTACAGACATCAACAGAAATTTCAAACCACACGTGATTTTTTTTTTACCCCAAAGTATACAAAACCCAGGAAGAACAGAAACAGAACATGAACAGCTCAAACTCCTGAAATACTTTCTGCTCCAGCCTGCAAGAATAGCACCTGGCTTCTTCATCAGAGCTATTGCTAAGGAAGAGCCAGTCAGTTTGTGCCAAAGGCAATGAACCACCAACCACCAGTGCCTCAACCTGCATTCCAGTCTTGAGCCATGCTGGTGAGACACCCATGACCAAGACTTGTTACAAACACTCTCTGGCTTTGCCTACCTAGAGGTACACACACAAAAAAAAATTTAAAAAAAAAAAAAATCAACCATGGTCTGAAACCAAGTTTTCATTCATACCTGACCCTTCAAGAAAAGAAAAATCAGTGAAGAACATCTTCAAGCCCCAGCCCTTGGTCATCCAAATAGCAGCTGTATCCAGAATATCAACTATTTTAATGCTAAGGCCACATAAACTAGTCCTAAGCAAGGAGAGAGCAGGGACAGTTGAGCAGCCAGGCAAGTGCAAGAGACTCCTCAGCTCTTCTGCCTCTTTAGCTGCCTCATCCCTCCCTCCTGCCACTGCTGCAGCAGGAGAGGCAGAAGAGCTGAGGAGCCAGCTTGTCCCCCCCTCACAGCCCCAGGGAGGCACAGAGGAATGATGCTTTCCACGGGTCACATGCTGTCAGGTTTAGCCACATGTACAGACACCACTGTTCATCACCGCCAGTCACCTGGCAGAGCCATGCTCCCAACCAGCTTCTGTGGGTGGGACACACCAGCCAAAGCAAGAAGGAACTTCCTTGGTCAGAGGCAGTGGCCACAGTTCCTCCACCAAGAGGGGGAAGATGGCCCCAGGGCAATGCAGAAATTATAGGTCCTGCAAAAACTCCTCATCTGTCCCCAAAGGTTAAGGAAGTTCTTCTTGCTACTCACCCACATTGGGTCATTCAGCTCTGTGTCCTGCACCCGGACGCAGTCCATGCTAATCTCTATTTTGTTTGTAGGACCATTTTCAGATGGGCCATCGATGAAGTTCAGATCGATCGGCTGAACCGAGCATATTGGCCTGAAAAGAAGAGAGTAACATGGTTAAAATTGGTCAAGTTTTGTTCCCCCCCACCCCATGTGCTAGAATATCAGCCAGGACTTAAGCACAACCATGAACAAGTCTCAGGACAAAATAATTACTAGTGAACAGCCTCATCACCTGCTGTGCTAACAGCAGCCCCTGGACAGGACAGGGCCTGGAGGGACATTTCACTTGCCTCATCAGAAAAATGAGGTAACAGCACAGAAATTAAATCACAAAGACAGAATTCATGGAGGATTTATAGCAGTAACTGTCCCAGCATCAGTCACGGCAAGTCAGGAATGGGAACAGAGTCAGTTTTATTTCCTTCAGTGGACCTGACAGAATGAACTCTGTGCCATCTCCACCTCCTCTCCCTTCCTGGCATCAGATAAGGAGGAAAAAACCCACCCTGAACAGAGTAATGACCCCATTTCCTTCAGGGAAAATGCCAACCATCCACCTTAACCAATCATGTGGTGGAAAGCAGTCAGCTCAGCAACCAGAGATCTTGAAGAGAGTCAGTGTCACGGGTCACCTCTGCATCTGTTCCCCATAGCCTGGATGAAGAACCTTGAGAGCTCAAGAGCTGTCAGAGACTCATGCCCACATCTTCTAATCAACAGGTACAGAAGACTCCAAAACCCCTAGCGTTAGTCCCCTGGACAACCTAATTACAGAGGCATCCTGTCCCAAAATGCCTTCTTTCCACAGGCTCCATGTAAGGTCTACTTACTGTTCCAGGAAGTCCCAGATATGCTGGAGCACCTCTGGGCTGAGGAATTCCCTGGGCTGCGAGCCGTGGGACATGGCCGATCGGTAGTAACTCTCCTTCCAGGAGAAGTGACTCGGAGTTTCTACAATCTAAAAAAAACAAAAAAAAAAAAAAAAAAAAAAAGAAAAAAAAAAGAAAACACACACACACAAAGATATGTTGAATGCATGAGCCCAACTCGATGAAAAGCCATAAATAGAAGCTATTGTGTGAAAAAGGAGACACGCTGAATGCCTGGAACATTCACAGCTGTACAACGCACATTCCACACTGCTGCAGATGCTGTATTTAGACAGGAGAGAATTTGGCCACCCTTCCCAATAAGTTAAATGACCCTCAGAGTCCACTGGGATGCTGGGTCATAAGAATCCCAGAGAGAGAGAAAAAAAAAAGCCACCTTCCTTTTTACCCCAAATAATAAACTTTCCATATAAAGCAGGTAGGCTTTGCAGTAGGTGAAGCCCCTGGGTGGTATGCAATTCCACTCTCCCTGTCTGGTTGTCACTAGATTGCATGCCCTTGGATGATTTAGGTGACTTCTACACCCAGCCACTGCAGCTGAGGTCTTGGACTAAATTAAGGTGGTTGGGTTTTTTTTTTAAAATTTGAATAATAATAATTAAAAAAAGAATCTTTTTGCTTTATTTTCTATGGAAATAAGTTCCATTGCATCAGATTATATCTGCTTATCTACTGCCTTCTCACCTCCAATAATTTCTGAGCCTAGCCAGAATCTGCTAATTACCTTGGCCATTTTTATCCCCTTAAGCTCCCACAAGCCTCACAGAAATAGGTGGGCCCAAGAGGAGCAGTGACGAAGCCGGAGCACTCACGCCTTCCACAGCTGCACATTCTCATCCCACTGGCCAATTTCTAAATTCAAACACAGCAGCTTTTGCACCCGTGTCAAAATACTCAACGGCTGCAGGGATGCAAGGAGCAGAGGGGGGGTGGGAGGAATTTCTCAAGTGTATCTGCAGTTAACAAAAACTCTTGGTTCAACTTAATCAGAATACAAAGCAGGTGACCACCTTTCCTGCTACAAGGATGGGGGTACCCTGCAAAGTTTTCATATAAAAAGAGTTGTTTTGTCACAACGCAAATGAATGGCTGCACTCCCTGCCAGGGGAACGGCTGTGGCAGGAGCCAAGGCTACAAACAGATTCCAAAAAGAATTGCACTAACATTTGGGTTGGCATATTTTGGTGCTGTTTAACACAATGGCCTAAACAAACTGCATGGAAGACCCTAATTTATTAAGCTGCCAACATTAAGACAGAGTGTTTCAGAGGGAGGATCACACTACCGTTCTTCTTTTCCTCTACTTCTTCCTGAAGCATCTGTTTCTGGCTGCTGTCAGAGAAGAACCTAGCGCTCTACTGAATTTGGCTGGCCTCTTAAGTTTTGAGGATGACTCTGGTCTGCAAAAAGCAGGGCTTTCCTCACCTCTGCCACCCACGGTCTTTGAAAAGAGCAGACAGTTTTCCTAAGTTAATGGAAATCAAAGCAGTTTCAGCCCCCAGATCCATAGCTGAGCATGCCTCAGAATAGGTGAAAGTATCACTTCAGTTGCTCATCCTTTTTGTGATTAACAAAAAAACCCCAACAGCCTTTAAAAGTTCATGTACAGCCAGACACAAAAATATAATTCAGAAGTGCTGTAGCTAATTGCTCTGTCTCACAGGTGTGAGCACATGCCCACACTACATGTGAATAATCAATCACAAATCCTCTGAGAACAGCAGTTATGCCACAAAGTACCAGAAATTACTCCTTTCAAGCTTTCAGTCTGGTAAGGCACTTTCAAGACTGCCGTATTGAAACCCAGAAGAAGAGATCTGGCCTAAAGCCCGCTATATAAGCTGGGAACTGATGCTACGACAAGATTTGGAGGAGAGCAATGGGGAGCGCATGCTCACCAGCCCACTCTGCCACTCAAACCACAGGCGCCAGGCAGTGCTCGATACCCTGTACCTGGTCCTGACCTCCCAGGAACGGGCAGAGAAACACCACAGTGGGTTTCCCCAAACCACTGAAGCACTCGCTTTTAACAGTTATTTGCCACTTATCACAACCGCCCTTGACTTAAACACTAAAACCCACTTTTTAGGAGTTCGGTGCAAAGGTAGTGACAACCATCCACACCATCTCATTACTATGCGTACAGGAATCAACTTTACTAAAGTGAGTTATTAGAAAACAGGCCTTCCTCAGAGACCTTCTTTCCTTCAAAAAGTCTCAGTACAAGGAGGTTTCTGCACGCTGTGACATGCCCCAGCTTTGGGTCACAGCTGCACAAAGTCCTGGGTCTCAGGAAGGCAAAGCAACCAGTTCAGCCCTGCCTGCTCCGGGCCTTGTAGTCTCCTTCAGCAACAAAGCAGAAGTTGCTTCTCATAAACCTACCCCAACCAAGCACTCTTCACAGTGCCCACAGCCTGCAGCACAGGAGAGGAAGGAGATATAGCTGCATGGACTGATAAAGCCAGATTTATTATTCTATGCCTCTGAAGCTAACAGAGCTGTTGAAAAAAGTCACACCAGTTAAGGACACAACTGATGCATCCCCATACTAAACACAACTCCAACTTTCTCCAGAGAGGTGCATTTTCCAGCTGTGTCATCTTTATCCCTGTATCCAGCCAAGCTCCTGGCTTACTGTTTCTAAGAAAAACATTATCACATTTTCCCTCATAGCCAAAAATGCACATTTCCCTATACCAAGCAAAAGAAGTTCCCTGGTTAATGCTTTCACGGAAGCAAAACTTGAGAGACTCTTTCAACACTGTACAACACCTTTGCAGCTGTATTTCCAAAGGATGCTGCAGGATTAGGTAGCCAACTTTGGCAGGGCACCTGGGAGAAGTAGGGAGCATTGCTTTTTACTTAGTTTGGTGCATCCTGTTCTTAGGTGGAAGAGAACTGTCAAGCCACAAAAAACCCAACTTCAGTTCAGCACAAAGCTGCATGCAAGCTCCTTCCCTATGGTGTTAATAAAATCTAAACCTAGCACCATTTTCCTCAATGAACAGCCTTCAAAATAGAGGAGCAGCCTCTGTCTACTGAACAGCATACCTAAGTGCCCAAGTTTGCTCTTCCACAAGAAAATAACAGCTAAAGCCTACACAAGACCTATATATAAACTTCACTACTCAGTTAATTGTCTTTTCCCACATCAGCAAACACTCTAGCTTCAGTAAAATAATCCCCTAGTGCCTAAAGTTAATCACAAGATAGTAGGAGTTCACATTGTTCAAATTGCTCCTACCAGCTGCTTTTTTTTAATTATTATTAACAGGCATTTAAACAACATCCCTTTTACCCACAACCACTCATCCCAAAGTACATCATGGAAGATAATGCAGCCTGTTATACCAAACTACTCACTACGACAGGACAAAGCATGGTAGTAAGCCTTGTCTAGCTTGCCCTCTGCTTTAAGCCTACAAGCTAATGCCCTGCATTAAGTGCTGAAATAGTTGGCAGGCAGCTTGCCACAAGCAGAGAACTCTAACTGCACCAGGTTGGAACTATAGAGGGATTTACAGCCCCCATCAAACTGCAAGTCGATCAGGACATTGCACCCACAAGCCCCTCCTTTAAAAATGACCAGGGGATTATTAATTAACAGAAATAACAGGTTAAACCTTCTCTGAGAAGCAGCACCTCACCAAGAGCACAGGATTTTCTGGCACAGTGCTGGGACACTGCTCCTGAACCACTGAATCCCAGGACAGGTTTCAGCCAGCAATGCACTCCCACTAAGGTCTAGCTCAGCTCCATCCTATTTATTTTGCTGAAGCAAGAGCAGCCCAGACCCCAGGTGAAAGCACTTTTCCAGATTCACTCTGCGAGCTGAAGCTATGTGTGTGCTGGTTGTTCTGCTGTCTCTTGACCATTTCCCCAGAAGGGCTGTGTTACAGCCCACCAGAGCGGGTTTGCATCCCCATCCCAGCTGATTCAGTTTGCCATCACACTGATGAGTGAGATATCTGCAAAATGTGGCAATCAGACCAACATGCCCCCCTAGCTGTACCCACACTCAATTTCAGTCTCCCAGAAGACTGGGAATGTTAAACTTCACCAAAAAAAAACCCCAAAATAAAACCCACCCCACCAAAAAACAACAACCAACCAAGTGAGCCCTGGCAAGCACAGCATTTGCCTTTCATAAGCCTTAGCCCATCTGCACTGCTATTCCCTTTCCCTGGAGCCAAGGTTCCCAACACAGGTGGAAACGAAGCCTTGACTGCTTGGCCCAGCACAGCATAAACTGGTGGCAAACCGGAGAGAAGACAAGACATTTCTGCCACCGCTACCTCACTCTAAGCACTTGCTTCCACTCTCCACCACGTTTTCCCCCTTCCTCCCTTCACATCAAAGGCATTAAAGAAAAGCAACAAAACAAAAAAAAACCCAAACCACTTTCCATGCCAGAAACAATGACAGAACACTATTAAACTCAACTATGGCAATGCAGCAACACTTCTCACACAAAAAGCCACCTTTCACTGCAAACAGCCTTTCTTAGAAAGAGCTAAACCCAAACCACTGAGGTTTGACATACCGCTGGGGAAAAGGCACAGGCTCCTGAGGAAAGCAAGACCTGGGTTTGACATGGAGCACACACAGCCCCTCCTCTGTAGCTGTAACCTTAAAGGCAGAAGCCACCTGCTTTCACTGATATAAGGTCAGATCTGACACAGGGTTCAGCCCAAGCACCACTGGGGTGCATGCCTGAGTCTAGCAACCTCCTTCCAAAAGTAAGAAAGACTGCCACAACCAAGAGATAGCATCCTTTTCTTTGGTTTGTCATCCAAAACAGGCTTGGAGCTTCAAAGCTTTGAACTGCCCCTAGATATAGTAGAGTTTATGGGGAAAACAGAAATGAATGAAGTATCTCAGTGAAGCTGCTGTGTTGGGTTTCAAGAGATCCAAGCAACTCCAGTTCTCCTTAGTTTCCCTTGGAAGCTGGAGCTCTGGGGTGGTTTTGTGTTTCTCTCGCATGGTGTGCAACCTCTTGGATACTATCAGTGTGGTTTATAGATGCTGA